TCTTCCCCTCCCTGCCACTGCTGGAGTGAGACCTCTCTCTGCACCCTAGGAAGCCTCACAGAGCCCCGAGCAGCTTACCTAATACCTGGAAAACTTGGATAAACGCAACTGCCTCTCTCTCCCATATTTAGAGCTCTGATCCCTGTAGTACTTGTGCTGCTTTCTGGGAGCGAGCAGATGGCAATGGGATCTGCTCAGCTGGTTGCATAAAACTGCATAGGTTTAAGAACTTGTAGGACCAGGGCTTTATTCTTTACTTCAAGCAGATGCTTATTATTAGAAGTCAGATTTACAGACAAGATGCATGTCTTGCTGCCTGTGGCCTGGGATTGAGGTTGCCAGAGGTTTCACCCAGCGCATTTCTCTCCGAGGCATGGTGTTTCTCAGTGTTAGGGAAAACGACCATATTCTCCCTCCTCCATTGCCTCACGGGCAAGCCTGCCGTGCGAAGCCCTCGCATGATGCTCTCAGTGCGGGGAGTTTAGAGGGGGAGGCGAGGTCCAGATACAGCCCTGCAGCCTCTGGCTGTTTCGGGCTCTGCCTGGGGTCTGCTTCCCATCCTGGCTTGCAGCTTGGGCACAGCTGTCCGCTGGACTGGCTCCAAGTGCATTTTTTCCCTTGCTCCCTGCTTCTTTAGCACTCCTTTTAAACTCCACTTCTTCTGGACAGGAACCCACATGCTCCTTCCTGCTGGAGGAAACGTCCACAAAGGTCCGCAAAGCCTTGTTTAGAGCAGCGGCACACAATGACAGCCCGCGTGCCTCACATCAAGTAGGGCAGAGTGCCGCAGGGCTGGGAGTCAGGAGACTCGATCTTATTCCAAGTCCGCCACCACCTTCTTGCTAATGTTACCATCTCCCCGTGGCACGTTCCTGTTTGTCCATCCACCCCTGTCTGACTTCTCTCTTTAGAACGTGAAATCGGAGACTTTCGCCTGGGCTGGAGCCTCCGGGCACTAATGCAATACAAATAATGATGAAAAATGCTGCATCTAGGCAAGGTAGACATTAAGCCTCAGCACAAAAAGCAGGCATGATGACACTTGACTCCTACCAATATTCCTGTCAGGCCAAGAGATTTCAATGCATATCTGAGCAGAAAATCAGCCGGAAATAAGGTTTAAGAGTTTAATTCTGAAAAAGTTGTTGCTTTTTAATATTTGATAACATGCTTTCCACTCGCTCCAAAATCCCATTCATTGAAAGCCTAGGAGGGTGAGGGCATGCATGCAAAAGAGAAGAAACACTTTCAGCTCGCACGGTTTTATACTGGAAAGCAACTTCTTAATGGTTATCCTGGCCTCCTGTCATCTTGGCATTTAACAGAGCTAGACTTGCAGTTGCTAGTGGGGGGAAAAAAAAGTCCATTGTTTTGCAAGAATAAAGCAGGGAAGTTGGGTTCAGCACTTTGCTCTTTTTACTGGCTTTGATTAAAAGCTGGTATGTAAAAAAAAAAAAAAAAAAAAAAAGGCAAAAACAAACACAACCTTTAAAAATGTGTTTTTTTAAAAATATATTTGACGTGACTTTAGAACCAGCGATAACGGCCTGGTTGACAGCCCCAGAAATAAAATCCTCCTCTTCAAACACAGTGTGGAATAATCATAAAGCACAAAACATAGGAAAGCCCAAGCTGCCTTCCCCTCTATCCCAGTCACAGATGTGTCCAACTCTTGATAAAAAAGGGCGATAACCTTCGCCAGCTCAGCTTTCCAGGCCCAGTCCATCCCTAGCCCCTGTGCCAAGGGCAGGACCCTCCTGGAGCTAGCAATGATGGTGGAGACTGTGATGAGGATACGTGTTGGCTATGACCCGTCTCCATCCCCTCATCTGCTGGCCACCAACAACTGGATGCTACAGCCAAGGTTTTTAGCACCTACTGCCTGGGCTTTGCCAGAATCAGTGGCCTTGAGGTCAAAGACCCCCGAGCCAGCCATCTGCACCCAGTTTCTACAATGAAGTCCCTCTTCCTTTTCATAGTTTCATACCTTTTAGAGGCTCCTGTATGTCTGATTCAGCTCCCCCACTTGAACCAAGCTAAATGGGCTTGACTTAACCCCCTTTCTCATCTGGTACAACTCCAGTCCATGACCAGGTGGGGCTTGTTCTCAGCTAACAGACTTGACTGCTCTTTTTCATTTGTTTCTTATGGCTAAAGAGAGAAAAGCCTTCCCATTTATTTGTTAGGCAACCCCCCTCCTTGAATACAGAGGGGCAAAAATCAGGAGTGAGAAACCAGAGGGCTCATGGCTGAACAACGGCGCACAGATTGGGAGGATGAAAAGAAAAGAAGCCATTCAGCCGAGACTATTCCCGCTGCAGCGGCAGGTCAGATATGGAAGCTTAACACACATCAGCAACTTCCACGACAGCATTAAACACGTGAAACAAAGAATATAAGGCACAAGAAAGGGAATTAATTTACTCGTGTTCTTGAAGGAAGAAAGAAAGAGATGCATTTAATACAGAGATGAGATGAAAACAAACCGTCCCATCCAAAGACCCCAAAACACTGGACCGGATGATAATGGGAAGCCAGATATCAATGCTATCAAGGGTCCAAATGCTTCCCCCGGATTTGGGGTTGTTTGAGGTCTGGATCCAGCTTTTGGTGGCTAGTGCTCACCCCTTAGTGGCAGTGGTAGACACCTGCATCCCGAGGAAGGTGAGGGAGGCCACGTCCCCATGTGCTGCAGCCTGGTTAATTCAGAGCAACCTGTGTTGGAGGGACAGAGATGCGCTCAACCTGCTCAAGAGGGGTTGAACCCAAACGTGGATGCCAGCTTGTGGCCTCCCCTCCCCTCCCCTCCCCTGTGCTGAGCTGCTTTCTTGGGATGCTAACGCTGCCCCTGGGTTTTGGTATGTGCCCCCCCCCCTTGCTTGAGGGATTTGGATACTGGGTCGTTCTACGTCCACCCCATCCTGCTCTTGGCTACTGGAAGAGCAAAACCAGGTCCATAGATAGCCCCACCCTAGCCCTGCCCTAAGCCCTGGGCAGCGCCAGGCTGCAGCAGTGCTGCCCTGTACCATGCAGAGCTGCATCGCCAATGGGGCAGAGCGCTCTGTAGACTGCGGCTTTCGAGTTCGTTGTAGAAAAAAAGGTGTGTAATTCCCGGCCTGGCCAGGAGGGTCCTGTCCTTGCTCGCCTCCCCTCTTCCCCCCTCCCCTTTCAAACCACACTGAAGACGCCGTTGCCCTGCGCACATCACATCTCCGTGTCGGCCAGAACGCGCGGCCTGGCAGAGCGTCCGTTTTTCGAGGCTGTCTGGCCAGTCCCGTTCTCCTGAGCTCCTCCGTTGAGATTCGGCTTCTCCTGCGGCTCTGGCTGCTCATGGGCGCCCACGGAGATCAGCGTGTTTCCCTGGCTGCTGTTTTCCATGTAATAGGGGTCTTCGCCCTGGACAGGGACAAAGATAACAAATGCAGAGTTAGAAGAGAGAAAGGAGTGACAGGAGCTATGTCAGTGCCACGTGGGCGCTCAGCCTTGCCCCGGGAGAAGATACACACGGTAGCAGCCGGCACAGATACCAGCTTGGGCTGACATGGAGAACAAGCCCCACCGGGGACTTGCATGGCTCAATTCTTCTCCGCGACCTACATGTAGAAGTCCTCAATTTGGTGCCGTTTGGATAAACAAGCCCCAGGCTCTTGAACTGTCCCAGGCTCGGACAATTGCAAACCCAGCTCTGGTTTTCATTTGGGCCAAATGAAATATTTGGGAAATTTCCTTCCTTTCTTCTCTTCAGCCTGCAACCTAGCTAAGCGGTTCTCAGGGAGCAGGTGTCAGGGGCCTGAGCTAAGCACTCCCAAGTTAAGCGTGGTGACCCGAGCTGGACCTCCAAACACAGACTCATGCTCTGCAGGACAGCATGATGGCAGAGCTAGCTAAACCATACTGAGGGGTGGAGACCCATTTCACATCATCTGAGACAGGAGGTAAGGGACTGTGCTGGAGACAAACTAGATGGACTGTGGACCATCAGGATTGTTCCACAACTCCCGAGTCTCTAAGATCTGGCAGCAATGCCAACCAGAGCCAGGGCCGCAGGGCGCTGAACGAAGCATGTTCAGCGCACGGTGCATCGGGAAGCAAATGAAAAGCAACTGAGGCCGAGGTCCTCTAATTGCTCCCTCGTTACTGCTCACAGAGCATGGGCTGGAGCAGGGCCAACTTCCCATCTGCTCAGTCCCCTCACCAACGTGTTTCAGCCCCGTCTTGGAAGGGGAACTTGCAGGGCTGAAAGTGGCCTCCTGGGTCCAGTCCCCAGCTCCTACATATAAAGCTCAGTGGCTGTAGCCCAGATTGATTCTTGGCCTCTTTGCTTACTCTCTCCCATCCGCTAGAAGCTGGATTTAGACCACCCCATTCGTTTAACCACCGTTAGTAAGCAATGACTTTCAGTGACAGCCAAGCTACGGCGGGAGACGGGATTCAGTGCCCTACGGTATCCCAAAACCACCCCCTGACACTCCAGTCCATTGGACATTACCTCAAATTTGCATTCCCCCATATTTTGCCAGGACACATCCCAGAATACTGAGTTTTATTAGCTTCTTACAGTATATAGCTGCTTTAAGTAGCAACTAGACTAACATTGTGGGACTATACTTTTTGGAAGGATTCAAGTCGCTGATAAGAAAGAACCCCGCAGAGCTCAGCAAAGTCTGTAAGTGGAAAAATGTATATAGGAAAATATTTTCTTTCTTGATATCCTTTATTAGCATAATTTGTTACGTGGGGGAAACAGCTTTTATTACAGCACAGATACAAGAGAGGTGTATAACTTAGTGTTTAAATGTAAAGCATCGGGGAAAGTGTGTCATTTTTCAAGCGCAAATTAACAGGCCTTTGGAGTCCCTGGAGGAGTCTTCCTGGACGAGTTCTTACTGCCGAGTGAAAATATGTTTTAGGAACGGAAGTGAGAGAGAACAAGGGAGAACGGTCCCCAAGTGAAGTCAATGAACATTTAGCCTTAGAGAGAGGAAGAGCGATTGCCTTTCACTCGCCACGTGCTAGACTTGGGGGTGACTGATTGTACTGACACCCCCTGATCCATTCACCACTCTCAGGCTGGCTCAGGCGTGAGCCTCCCAGGATCTTATTCTCCCTCTGGGGGAGTCCGAGGTGGCATTCAGGACAGGCCCTGGCTGATCAAGCTGTCTCATGCCATCTAGAGATCCATGCCTATACTATAGGCCATTAACACAGAAAATAAGTTCACAGCTTCTACCTGCCCTCCCGAACCGAGAGCAACAGCGAGGTCTCGGCAGTGCTCTCCGGGGCATTCCCCCCTCCACATTCTTCCAGTACTTGGGTCTCTCTCTACTTGTTTTGCCACCTATAAGCACTAACCAGCCTCTCTCTCGTGGGGCTCCAGCTCCGTCGTTTCATAAGGAAGTATGCAGCCAAACCCAAAATCGCCACCGAGAGTCCAGATGTGACCAAGGCAATCAGCGTCTTCCGGGAAAAGTCCTGGTGCTTCCAGATCTCCTCCTTTTGGTGGGATTCTATACCGAGCTGGAGACACACCAAACAGAGCCAAGAACCTCAAAAACAGGGAGCTTGCACCAGCATCACATCTTCTGAGAGCGCTTTGCACCTTAACTGAGCTGTTTTCCAGCTCAATTCTACCTGTGCTTATGAACGGACTCCACCCAGCTCCCAAAGTGATGAATGGATGGTACTCCCAGTCACTCCAGCGGGCGCTGGATCGGGGCCTTGGGGCCCGGCTGCCTGCCCTGGAGAGGGAGATTCTCCATCCCCAAGACAGATACAGCAGAAGCAGGGACAGCTTCCCCCATGCTTCCCTGCAGCATGCTTCACTTCTGACCTGCAAAGGCCAACTACAGCAGTGAGAATGAGAAATCCCTTGCCAGTCAGCCCTTAGCCCCTCTAAGACTGACGCCTCTCTCAGATAACAGGCAGTGCAGGTGCATGCCTGCTATATAACATTATTCTCCCCATCTTCTGGGTCCTGAGCTCTTTGCACTCTCTGCTGACCTTATCCACCCAGGACTGAAGAATTCACCTGCAGTATAAGCATCTTTCTTGGAGCCCTGTATTTATGCCTCTAGTGAAGGTCTCCTCCTCTGATCAGAGGGCTCTGCCCCTGAGGTCTGCAGCATGCTGCTGCACAGATGTATTATCTTTGACAGGGTTACCCACTAGCTGCCATTTGTACAGGCTTTACCAGCTTGTGGTGACCTCGCTGGAGTGTTGTGAGGACCCACTGATTAATGGCACTTTGAAGAGGTAAAGCATCAACTAAGTGCTGGGGGTTATTTTTGGGGACCCATTGTGAATTTAAAACCTACAGTACCTGCTACTGTAAGCATGCAAGAGTACAGGACACCTATTCTGGAGTACTAGAGCGAGTGTGTGTGTGCATATATGTGTATGCATACGTGTGTGCACGCATGCATGTGTGTGTATAGCCATGGCCTGGATTTGACTAAGGATCTGGGGTTTCCAGCCTGAGATGCATCAGAAGAGCCTGGGTTTCAGAGAGCAGGTACCTCTGCAAACCAGACCTTTCCAAAGGCTCTTACCTGGGACACCCAAAATTAACAGTCATGATTGAATATTTAGATCCTATTTTTTTTATAGTAGGAAGGCATTGGGTGCTTAATACTTACTATGCAGAAGATAAAGTAATAAAAGATTCTGCGATTGAAAGTGACTGCAAAAGTTCCTGCTTTTGAGAGGAGGTAACAGAGGAGGCTCCTTGTTCGATCTGCAAAGCCCTGTCAGAAGGCTTACAGAGCGAGTGGCTCATTTCCAGTCCTTTTGGGCCTGGCCTGTCTCGCAGCCTCCTGTGTTGTAATGCAATACTGCAGCGTTCAGCCAAGTGAAGAAGGTGCCCCTCTGTCTCCTCCTATTCCCCACGTGGCGGTGACAGAAGTCAGCCGCTTGTTTATGTGCAGACTACTCTGAGCATATTCTGAACTACTGAAATGCAGGCAGGGAAAGGTCCCAGATTTCTCTCTGCAGCGGATACTGCACGGGCAGTGGTAGGACAGCCTTCTCTATGCCACGACTGACCTGACGAGGATCAGACCAGGGGGCACCCTCTATAGTGCATTAGGTAGTTTGGCACCAGGTATGACCCCAGGTCATGGGCAGCTGGGCTGAAGCCAGCTTCTGTGCTCTTTGCCACAAAATGCCCCTCCGATGGTGACAACTCTCATTGACCACCAACCTGGGCTGGATTTGAACAGTCAGCTTAACAGACTCTCCCCTATCCCGACCACCCAAGCCATTGCATCTCCCATCCTGCTCCAGTTGGAAGCATTTACCTCTTTCAAATCAGACTTTGGATTCTTGAGGTGGTTTAGGATTCCTTCTGCGTCTATAGTTTTCAAGACAGAAAGGTGGCATGTTATACAGTATAAAAGCTGTCAGGCCAACACCTGACCACTTTGCAGTCATACCGAGAAGACAAGGTGGAAGCTCTACATCCCTCATCCAGCGATGAAATGCTATGACTACATAAAAGCCATATCTCCCTTCAGGCTCAAGAAGGGAGAAAAGAAGCTGCAGCAGTCTGCGTTCCAGCTGCCGTTACAGGTTTCCATGCATTCAGACACCTTTGATCTCCCTGCATAAAACAAGCTATGTCTCTGCACCCTGCTCTTGCAGATACCACTCACGCTGCCCTCCACCAGCGCACTAAGTTTCCTGCTCCTCTTCCACCCACCTGCACACACGTGCTTGCATGCACACACACACACACCGCAGAGAAATGTGTCCCACTGACCTGCGGTGTCCCCTAGAATAAGCAGCATGCAGTAGGGTTTCACCTCCGATTTAGCCAGTTCAATGCGGCAGGGAGAAGCAGGGTGCAAGGAGGCCGAGGAGTCATTACAAAGCAGCTGCCACAATCTCCTTCCCATCTTCATTTTAAAGTGATCCTAGGAAAGTCCCAGAAGGAAACAGCCAATAAAGCAGAAAACACAAATCCTCCCTCTCAATGAAACCTCAACTATACCCCTTGCTTGTGTTATTGTCACCAGTCTCTCTCTTCCATTGCAATAGCTCCTACAACCGGCTTACCAGGTCTGGGCTTCATTGTGCGCGTCACTGGCCAGACGTGCAGCAAATGTCAGTCTGATACCAGTTCACACTAGGACACAGCACGGTCAGAGGAACTGAGAACCAGACTGGGAGCCTCACAAATCTAAGCCCTTCCTTTCCACTATCTTGTGTGACATTTCATTTCCGTGTGTCAGCTTCCCCGTCTGCACCAGGAGGATATCGGCCCTTATCTGCTGCAGAGGGTGAGCTTATGCTGGTGAAGTGATGTCCAATGTTATCGGCAATGGAATCGAATGTTATTTTTATTGAGCCTAACTGGAGCATCGGCGGGGTTTGGGTGTGTTCCTTTATGCTTTGGAACGAGAAAGAAGCCAAGGGAGCCTGCATTGTTTTGGAACGGCAGAAAGAGTCTGGGAAACCGGGAAATAACAGAGAATCATTTGGCTTTCCTGTTTAGGAAATGCCTTGAATATTTCTGAGCAGGCACGGATCAAAGGCTGGGCAAAGAACGAAACTTTCTCACTTCTTGGAGTTAGAAAGACCCCATGGCGGGCCGTGGTCGAGGACGAGAGAAGAGCTGCTTTTTCCTCCTCTTAACCAACCGGTGCATGCAACCATGTGGGTGCTTCTCCTAAAACCCGTGTGCATGCACGCACACGGACACTGTTTTGCAGTCAGGGCCAGGTTTGCTGCCTTGGGAAATCTGCTTGCATGGGGCTAGCAGGACAGCTCAGGGCATTAATGAGGGGTATTCAGTCTTTCAACTTCAGATGGCTTGAGAAAACCCGGCTTGCATTGGCAGCACGTGAAAATTATCACCACCTTGACAGTTGTTTGATGTCACAAGGGAAAATGAGCTTGCCCTTCCAGAGGGCTGAACCAACACTATTGCATCTGAACATCCCCCTTGTGGGAGCAAGTCTTGGAGACTGACCTGCGCTCGCAATCCTTGCGGCCAAGCTGGTCGCTGACTATACTTGATGTCTTTCCTTTGCCTGGAGGAGTTTGTGCCTAGTTTCTTTAAAGAACTGCCAGCCCTCCCAAACTCTTTTCCCTCAGCCTTATTCCCCGTGGGATTTAGCTGGCCAAGCCTCTGACTTCTCTCACATCTGCTTTCCTGAAATCAGCCTGTTACTTTAACTTTTCCTTTCCTAAGGATCACAAACTCTCTCACTTCCTGGCTTCATTTCACCAAAGCCATGGCAGAGCTGTGTCACTGATGGCACTGATGATAAAACCGTTTGCCCTTTCTCTTCAAGGGGACAAGAAAAGAAAACAGCCCTCTAAAATTGCTGTCTTACAGCATGTTTTGGGCAAGGGGACCAAGATGGGAGGAAATGCCCATGCGTCGGCTTCCTTGTTCTGCTGTGGAAAGAATCAGCGAGGGTGTCAGAGTTTCCTCTGCACTGA